CCATTTGCTGGAGAAGATAAACAAGAAACATGCTACAATGTTTCCTTAGCTTCGCTAGATTTTCCAGAGGAGTATTTTAAGAACATCTCTCACACTGCACAGGATTTTATTAAGAGACTTCTTCAAAGAGATGCAGAGTAAGTGATGCTTAGAGAAAGAAATGATAAAATTGTTATGTATGTAAACCTTATTTTAACCTTACTGTAAATTCTACTTACGTATTGCACTTGTGTTCGCACATGGCTTCACCATCACAAAATCTTGTCAGCCATGCAGGCTAAGCTGCAGTGTAGACCTTGCCAGATGTAGACTTAACCTTCCCTCACTTTACAAATATGCAACCAAATCAAACCTTATCTCAAAATGGCTCTTGCTATTTTTTCAGTGACAGGCTGTCAGTCCAAGAATGTTTAAATCACCCCTGGCTAAATACAGAGGAACTTTTCCAACGAAGTCCCATACGGAAGAGTAGACGGTCTTATGGTTCAGAGCAAAGTAAAAAGAGGAAAAAGATTCGAAAGATGCAACAGCAAAATGGGATAGCTGATGGTGAGCAGTTTACAAAGTTGTTTAAAAGCTCTCTGTTTTTGTAATTAGCATATAATTATTATTTAAAATAAATGATGTAAATCACTGATATAATCATAAATTATGCAGTTTACGATATGTTGAAGAGTTAAGGTTTTATCATTTTTTCAAACAAAATCAAAAATTGAAAACACTGCTTCTTCAATTTTTTTTTAGGGAAAGTGATGACCATTGTGAATGGCAGTGATTCAAGATGAGAAAACCTTCCACCACGCCATCATGATATGCTCAGCAGTATTCCAGGCATTTGCATAATTGCGATACAGAAGCAGAAATTTTTGCTGTGGAATGTAGATACATTTGACTGGCCCTACTGTACATGTGGTTGCCCAGTATTTTATCTGAACCACAATGGATCCAAGTCTCCACTGGCTGGAAATGGTGAGAATTTCCAGGCCCAGTAAGATCCTGAACCTACAAGTTACAGAATGGAAAAGTATAATAATATATTTAAAGACTTCTGTTCTGGAATCTGTAAATGCCAAATGCCGTTACAGTAAAGGCACTTTTGGGACNTGCATTTAGTAGACTTGCTAAAGGCGGTATTGCCCGGGCATATTGATTACAGATTCTGGACTGATACAGAGTCTGCAAATGTCATACACCGCGCATTAACTCACTTGCGATCATACAGCCTTACCTTGCAGCTAAAAGTAGATTATACTGAATGTTTTGTTTGTATACCCAACCCGAAAAACATTCATCCGCAGCAAAGCCCAATCAGTATTCGCAGTGGTGTACTACTTCTTAATAAATGTTGAAACAGGTCTCTCCGTCGAAATTCCCTAATATGTTTCGACTTTCAATCTCCCATCAATTTTTAACGTCGGCAACACAGTTATTTTACAGTATGCTCAACCTCCAACTAGACAACCAAAATGACTTGAGCAATTGCTCACCATTTCTTAAGAGACAATAACGTTTTCCGGGGAAAATCTGTAAACATTGTTCCCAGTTGCCGCGACTATAGTCATTGTGTAATATAAACAATCCACGATTGTCATTTACAAGTTTTTATTTTTACTTTATTAAAAAATATTCGATACGAATACAAAGAGCACCTCAAAATAAGTGATCCGACCACCTTCCAGCACGAAGTGAAGTGAAGAAGTGAAAGGAACCTTAATTTAAAAAAAACTGACATTTATTGCTCTCGTTTCCTTTCGCAAACCACGGTGATCGTCATAGAGCACATGACATCACGACAAACATCGCTGTGCTTTGAATAAAACTTTCAGTCTGGCTCAAATAAAACACTTGAAAAACCACCCAAAAAACATAAATCTCCAACCCAACTTTCTACAATGGTTAATTTTGTTATTCCACTCACTCACTACACATTTTTTCCTATTGACATTTATGATGACCGACTCCGACTCGATGTTTTCAATCTTTTCAACTATGTGGCGACCGAACTTCCACTCTGTCCCGTTCTCAACGTGAAGTCAACCTTCTCACAATGTCCAAAATGGATCATTTTGGTTTCTGGTCAAAAATGCCCCGCACTTAGGTCCAAAAATGGATTTCCTCGGAGATTTAAAATCAGTCAATAATTGATTGTCATGAAACAACCTTTCTTACAAAAATAAACATTTTATTTCATGTAACACTATATGCAATGCACGTTACGGAAAACATTACCAAAAATGTATGATCATCATAGGAAAATATAATTCATTTACATTTCAATTTTGACCAGACTTTTAAATAAATTATATATTTTGAATAATTCACGTAAGTTGCTTTATGTATTCAACAGCTTTTGAGATGGACTAGCCTGCGTAACAAACGCTTCCTTTCCATTTCCAGGCGGGGAGATCAAGCAAGCGAGCGAGCAAACGCACGCACCTGCAGTTCAGCAAAAAATAAAGAGAAGGGGGAGGCGGTGGGGAAAAGCAATAATTTCCTTTGCCCCACCCCGTTCCCCTACTCCTTATTTTTTCGCACTCGCTCGAAGTTCCGTTCCCTTCATGTGCTTTTGGCAATGAACGCCCGCTACGCATGCCATCTTTTTATAACCTTGTTTTACTCACGCCCCAAGAGCAAAGGAATGCACTGAATTGAAAGCCAACCACACGTGATCTTTGTAAAATCCTAACGTGAACACGTGATCTTTGCAAAAGGGATAACGTGCACACGTGATCCGTTGTAACCTGCAAACGAGATCTTTGTAAAAAAAAAAAAACACACGAGAACAGAAAACCCTTAAAGATGCCGTTAAATTCTGAAAATAAGCTCCGACTCTTACATATTATTCTAGCACACCTATCCGCAAATCAAATATTTGAACTTTATAGTATTTCCGTGTAGAACAATATAACCTGGTTAAGGACAAAACGCGCAATATTTCAACACAACAGATTGCAGCATTGCAATTTTGGCTACCATGTTGCAATATTTTGCGTTAAAATATTGCGATGTCTAAAGGCTTAGGATATCCATTTGATAGCTGTGGAGCTTTAACAATTATCCTGCTACGTCGCTCGAAAATTCATGAATTTTCGCAAGGTCTAACAGGATAATAGACCAATTTCGATATATTAAAATTCAGCCTAACACAAAAGACCTCAGCACGAGGCCCTGGGGAATAAACCCAACAAACTCTGTAGTTATTCCCCCTGGGCCTCGTACTGAAGTCTATTGTTTTAGGCTGAATTTTAATATATCGAAATTGGTCTATCATTTAATAGTCAACAAATTGTCTCCGAATTGCATATTTTTACAGCTCGATAACTCTGGTTGTGCAACCCTTTGGAAGGTCTCGGAGTCGGACGAATCTTCTTGAACGCACTTCCAATTATAGCAAACTGATGTCTGTTGAGTACGGAAGACATTAAATGCATTTCTTGATCAAATATAGCCATCGTGACAATTTGTTGAATAACAACATCCGGTATAGTGGTTCGTAAGAAGTTGTTGTACACGGACATACATGTATATTTCATGCTATAAGTCACCTAGAGATTATTTTCCAACAGTAACAAACAAAATCACTGATCGCAGTAGCACCAGTGGATTACAAAACCACAAAATGGACGGGGTCAGCTCCTAACCACCTCTTTTGCATGGAAACTAATCGAGCAGACCTTAAAGGAGCTCAGTCACGGTTTGCGCACATTGAAAAGTTTAGCCTCAATTTTTCAAATTCGTCGTTTGCAATCCGTGTTAATCTTGTCCATCCTTAGCCATCCCTGTTCCCTTATGCTTTATCACTATGTCTTTGGTGTTTTTCCATCTTATTAAACTGTTATTTTCAGGTTTCCTACCATTTAAAGGTAATTTTGTATGTGCCCAAAATAACTCAAAATACGGCGACGGAGCAGACCTTAAGTATAGGCCTCTCTTTTATAAACAAAGGTGCTTCGAAGAAGAAAAGAAAATAATGCATATTCTATTGACATGGTCATCCTTTGTACAAAAAAAAAACTTCAAAAATTTAAACAATTGGTCAACCTATACAACAAAATGTACATCAACCCAACCTTACCCAACCCACTTGTACTGAGCCTGTAGTCTCGTGAGATAATCTGCGGTGATCGTAAAGCGTTTACGCCACCAAAATAAAGGGCGTTTACCTCCATGTTCTACCCATATAATTGTCTAATACGCTTGTAACCAGAGTATCAAAATTACAAGATTTAAGGGAAAAAGATACATCTCTTTTGTATTCTGACAGTCACGTAACAACAACAAGCTTGTGCAGTTGCAAAGGAAGCTCAAACATGGAAAAGAACCAGGCTTTAACTTGGATTCAAAAAAACTATGCCATCTGTAGCCACATTCACCAGCAAGTCCTTCGCTTTTAATTGTTTAAAAGACTTTTTCGGTGGGATTATTTAATTTTTTAGACTATTTATTTCATTTTTTTTTTCATGCTATAAATTTGTATCGTTTTTCAAGAGCTAAATTGAAATTTAAACACATTATCTGATACCGGTGTATTCATCATTTCTCGAATACAGAGTTCTCAATTTACCAACTCCTATTGATTCACAACTCAGTACCACGGCGGTGTACTGACATCACAAAGTTCTTGGGTTCATTTCGTTGAAGCCTGATTGGTTTCCAGATTTCTTTGCCACCTCTTCAGTTGTTACATATTNAGTGCTAGCGTAGCTTTTTCGTTTCTCTGGCAACAGAGGCACAGGTGCAGAATTGCAGTCATCATCAGGAGATATCAGTGTCACTGGGCGCTAGAGGAAGACAGAAAACCGCTACATCATTAATATCCAAATACCTAGTATACAAATAGCATATTTATCATCTGTTTAGTTAGGGCTTCCCTCGCAATTAACCACGATGTTTACACTCATAAGACTTAAGATTATCTTACTTACCAAGGAATCCTCCAATATATTATTTCACTACAGTCGTAGGAGACACGGTGATTTAAAGGTTTCTGCGCTGAACTCCAGATCGACAGGTCTGGGTTCGAACGCTGGGTAGAGTAATTGTGTTTTCTTTATTTTTGTTCTTCCACGTAGGAGGAAAAAAAAATTACAAGTAAATAATGCTACCGACTTAGGGCACAGAACAATCAAACATGAGAGACATACTACAGTTGTAATAGCGTGTGCAGCCGTATGGTCAGCTATCACTTATTCGCAAAAAGAGAAAAAAAAAAAAAAATAATTAAAAGAAACAGGAATGCGCATTTGTGATATACCGTCATGGCGCTGACCGAAATTTACGTTTTCTCTTACCTTTGGTTTTTCTGGAACCGGAGGGCCGTTGACTTCAGCAGACATCCGAGAAACAGATTTCTTGGGAGGTAGCGCGGGGAGATTGTCTTCGCTAGCAGGAGGGGGGATGACCTTAGAATCGTGTCCAGTCTCTGCTCCGTTTAATGTAGGATTGGAGACCACCATGCTTTTGCGCTTGGGAGGGAGAGCAGGGGACATTTCTCCACTGAAACAGATGAAGAAGGAAATAGTAAATGAGCAAGCAACACCATTAATTTTGTTTACAGTATCATACTATCAAGACGAGAAAACTGTCTTGATAAAAGAAAAAACAACAACAACTTCTTGGCGCTAAAACCACAAATTTACATTAAAATCAGTTGAGAGGATTATCATTTCAATATCGGGGACTAAAAGAGCGCTTTTTCAGCTTCTTTGTTTTTGTTACACTACACAAAAGCGTGATAAGGAATTCAGAATTTAACGCTCCTGTGATAGACACGGCATTGCTATAGATTTGGAATTATCGTTTCTGTGAATGGTGCGCCTCAAATACACAATCGTGTTCATCGTTCGCTTCCATCGTCACGCAGCCAAATTCCGTTGCGTGACAATCCACCCCACATTTTCGAAGGAGGCCTGGGGCCTGTTTCTCGAACGCCCCGGAAACATTTCGGGCCCGCAAAGCCATTTCTTAGTTAATTTGTATCTTAAAACAGAAAGGTGTATACGCCTGAAACTTCTTGTATGAAGGAACTTCTGGTCATATTAAGAATATGTAAATGAACAGCTCTGTAATCATAAGGTTTGAGAATTTGCTACGGCTTTCCGGGTGCGAAACCTTTTCGGGACCTTCGAGAAACAGGCCCCTAGACCGGGTTGTTCAAACCTCGATTAAGCTAACCTAGGATAAGCGAGAATATTGATTTCAGTTTTGTAACTTTTCGGTGAGGTTTTCTGTTTATATTGTCTGTCCTTCAGTTTTGAACTTGAATAATCCCAAACTACACAAAACAAACAGTAAAAAACACTTTTATACAAGAAAAAAAAATGCTATGGTTAACTTTTAATCCTCGGTTAGCGTTAACCGGCTTTCGAACGACCCGGCACCGAAGTTTTATCGATCCGAGTTAAATACATGTCGCTGGTTCGCTCTTTAAGAAATTCTACTTGTAACGGCTCCACACGAAAATCTCTTGTAGACAAATCAAGCAAGTCATACTTGTCACGAAGAGGCTGCACTGGAGAAGTGACCGTTCTGAGCATGCCCGCTGGTGAGGAACTCCTGTGGTGAAGTTTTCCGCCAATCGTGGTCCTCCGGCGTATTGACTCAGGAGAGATCCCAAATGTGAGATCCGGTTTAGAGCCCTTCTTTGGAACTGGCGGAGCAAGTTCATCTAGTTCTGAAAGAGCTTCCAGGGACTTTGATCCAGAAATCTGCGGACAAAAACACAACAGCAGTGTTGGAATTTTATTGCAGTAACAATTACGGCGATCGGTTCAATTTATGGGAGCTCTTTTAGAAGCGGACAACAAAACAAAACCGTTCAGGTCACCTTTTCGGAAGACCTTAGATAAAGAATCCGAACAGTTTCCGAATCTTATTATCAATTGGAAAAAAAAGCTCGAACACTCTAAATGTTATCTGTTTGCTTAATGTTATCAGCATATGCAACGTTACTGCGAGACATCACTGCCAAGAACCATCAGGAAAGAAAGTCTGTAAGGGAGAGGAAGAAAAACACTGCGGTAACAAAGACAAGATTTATTTCAAAAGATGAGGCATGCAATTAGTACAAGGTTTTTATTCAAGCGCAGCGAAAAGCCAAAAAATAAGGACAGTTGGAGAGATTTACATATTTTCCCTTCTAATGGAGAGCCGAATATGGAAGATAACGCGAGGGCAAAATGTTCTTTAAGTGAAGTGAATCCAGCGAAAGGCAAGCAAGAAAGAAAGTGTTCCATCACCTTCTTGGCTGGTTGGTCATCGCTGTCGTACCACATGCTTCGTGGTGGCGGAAACTCGCTTTGACGCCTCTGTTTTGAATTCGTCACAGGAACACTTCTGGTATAAAACAAATCAGGGAATTAACAGGACTGCTGACACACGGACCTTCAGGTGCAATATCAAATTTATCTACTTACTCTCTGCCAATGTCAGGTAAGCTCTGTTTTCTTAAATCCCTTATGTGCGGAAGTGTCGCGGCATGGTTAGAGGGTATCGGAGGCAAAGGAATCTATGAAAAGTGATAAGCAAAATAATATCGCACTGACGACAAATGAAACTGCAATTTGAATGAGAATCCTGGTGATTTAATTTTATACCAACCTGTAGATCTTTAGGCCTAGATGATTTTCTCTCCTCCCCTGAGACACGAGCTTTCATGTCAGCAAAACACGTCTCCATCTTGTTATGAAACGGACGCAAGTCTTTCGTTGCTAACGCGTCATGGAGTTTAAGTCCCCTCTCCAAAATTTTAACCTACACGAAAAATAGTTCTTAATCACCCAAAAAATATACTAAAGTTCAGATATTAATTCAAAACTTAAAGCATAACTTAATTGGCACACACTGTCAGTGCTTAGCATCTGTTTTGTAAACAAACATCGTGTTATTAGATACGCAATCAAAAAAATAACCTCACCTGATTTTCTATGGCGCGTTTCAACTGGTCAATAAGTAGCTTATCACCTGGATTGCTTTTCAGGTATTCCGCGGCGAAAAACGCCTGCAAAAGCAAGGGGTTGTCAGTTATTATTAACGTTGTACTCGTTATAACGCCGTGAGCCTAACAACCATAGCAGTAGCTTACTAAGTTCTTTCGTCCGAGACCAGACTACAAAAGAAAAATTAGCATTTTACTCTGACGAAGGCAAACAGAACGTTGACGAAAATTTAGCTTACTTTTACATCGTTCTATAGCATTTTTAGGTCAGATTCAACATTTTTCAAAGGTTTCAATTAGCAAAAACTTGGGTGGGTTCATACCTCTTCATACTTTGCTATCCCACCCATGACAGCAGCATCAATGATACCATTGAGTATCATACTCAGTGGGTTAATACTCTGAGTTGTGTCTGAGGACAGATTAGTGATAATCCTATCCAGCTCTTTATTCTTGGACTCCACGGTCTCCACGGCGTTCTGTAAAGGACTGATTTCAATCTGAAAGAAAAACAGCAACGTTTTATTAGAAAGGGAGCAAGAACACACTGTTCCCTTGAAATCACTCCCACGCGACAAGGAACGCAAAAAGTTGTCAAGCGCCGGCGCGTAGCCTTTTGCCTCGGTTTCAAAACGAGTCCTCCAGCGAAACCATTCGCATGAAAATGTGTTTCCCCTACAGGTTCATTTTCATGCAAATCAAACTCACTTTCCTATGAGAGGTTTTGCATGAAGACTCGTCTTGAAATAGAGGCACAAGGTAACTCAGAAATGGCCTTTTTCCACAAAACACATTCATAACACATTCTAAAACACAGTCATGACACGTTACCGCCACATCATCTTCTACTGACATCACGCGTGGTACGAGACTCCACTATCGTTATCACAAAACTTACGCTTTCAGAAGAAGTGACTTGAAACCATCTGAGAATTCCAGGCAAAGGTGAGGCGATTGTATAGGTTGTTCTTTCCAACCACAAGTTCTAAAACAAAAAAAGTAACTAGAATTCAGCACGTTGTCTGTAAGAGTTTGGAAAGTAACTCATAAAAGGCTATTTCAGTGTTAGCTTTAGCCTTTTCCTCAAAGGTTTGGTATAAAATCGTCGATTTGAACACAAGTTTGACAAATAATTGTTTGAGAGACTGATAACAAAGAAATCAGATAACGCAAATGACGCACATCAGATAACGTAAATTTCGCCACATTACCTCTATATCATAAAGCAAATGAAGAAGCCTAAGCCGTGTATTTCACTGTGATAAAACACTCCGGACATTTGAGAACACTAGAGAAATGTAGCAAACACTCGCCTGCGGCTCGTGTCCTCAAATGCCCGTCGTGTTTTATCACAGTGTAATACACGGCTTAGGCTTCTATATTTGTTAAAGAAGGAATGTTTTTACGATCTACAATGAGTGGCATACACTTGTTCCTTACCGCAAAGTCTTCCGATCCCGGGCGCAAAGGCCGTGAGTTAGTGAAGCGTCTGACGTCATTTACACGATAATGACTGAAAATTAAGAAAAAATAACTAAGTCTGTGTGCTCTTTCCTGAATAATGCCACTCCCATTTTAATGTTGTAAGGAGATCGAGCCTGCCTCTGCAAAAACAAATATATAAACAAAGACACAAGAAAACAAAAAATTTCAAATACACATTGATGGAGCCATAAAAAAGTTTTACTGACAAAATTCTGCCTCATCCCTGTAAAAGTCTTGGTGATGTATTTTGTTCTAAAACGAATTGCGACTTAAGTGTTTCTCTTTCTATTTCCTTCATATTAACGAATTAAGCTATTTAATGAGTTAGTTAGCTTAAAGGAGCTCAGTCACGGTTTGCGCAAATTGAAAAGTTTGGCCTCAATTTTTCAAATTCGTCGTTTGTAATCCGTGTTAATCTTCTCCATCCTTAGCCATCCCTGTTCCCTTACGCTTTATCACTATGTCTTTGGTGTTTTTCCATCTTATTAAACTGTTATTTTCAGGTTTCCTACCATTTAAAGGTAATTTTGTATGTGCCCAAAATAACTCAAAATACGGCGACGGAGCAGACCTTAAGTATAGGCCTCTCTTTTATAAACAAAGGTGCTTCGAAGAAGAAAAGAAAATAATGCATATTCTATTGACATGGTCATCCTTTGTACAAAAAAAAAAAACTTCAAAAATTTAAACAACAATTGGTCAACCTATACAACAAAATGTACATCAACCCAACCTTACCCAACCCACTTGTACTGAGCCTGTAGTCTCGTGAGATAATCTGCGGTGATCGTAAAGCGTTTACGCCACCAAAATAAAGGGCGTTTACCTCCATGTTCTACCCATATAATTGTCTAATACGCTTGTAACCAGAGTATCAAAATTACAAGATTTAAGGGAAAAAGATACATCTCTTTTGTATTCTGACAGTCACGTAACAACAACAAGCTTGTGCAGTTGCAAAGGAAGCTCAAACATGGAAAAGAACCAGGCTTTAACTTGGATTCAAAAAAACTATGCCATCTGTAGCCACATTCACCAGCAAGTCCTTCGCTTTTAATTGTTTAAAAGACTTTTTCGGTGGGATTATTTAATTTTTTAGACTATTTATTTCATTTTTTTTTTCATGCTATAAATTTGTATCGTTTTTCAAGAGCTAAATTGAAATTTAAACACATTATCTGATACCGGTGTATTCATCATTTCTCGAATACAGAGTTCTCAATTTACCAACTCCTATTGATTCACAACTCAGTACCACGGCGGTGTACTGACATCACAAAGTTCTTGGGTTCATTTCGTTGAAGCCTGATTGGTTTCCAGATTTCTTTGCCACCTCTTCAGTTGTTACATATTTAACAGCTACGATGACTGTTTTTGTTGACAATTTTAACCATAGCCTCGTGCAATAAAAACTACAAGTTTAAGCTTAAATTTTGAGCCTGTTTAAAATATTTCCCATGTTAGTTTGACTAAATGTACTATGGAGTAAGCCCACCAAATTTCACTTTTACAAAATATCCAAACTTCATTATAATCTGACTGCTTTTCTCTATAACTGGTTTCTTTCTAAGATAAGTCCTCGTGAACCTTTTTGTTTCCCTACCGAGACCAGTGTAAATCTCTCCGTGGTAAAAAGCACATATTTGTGGCTCATCGACAAATACGCAATCCAGGACATCCTCTAAGACAACTCAAGATTCTCGTTGTTCGCTTTGTTCTTCCGTGCTCGAGAAAGACGTCAGGAAGACCTCACTGATGACGTAATTTTACGGAGATCCTTGAAGTGCTCTGATTGGTTGTAACTAACCCGGGAAAATTCAAACACGAGCAAGTACCAATCAGCCACTGCATCGATGTCTGTGGAGCTACGTCATCAGAATGGAATTTTTCGCGCCAATTCCAACGCCGTCATCTCTCGAGTTGAGAAGGAGAGAAAGAAATCTGTTTGCACAAGCTAACACAGAGTATTGTCGTCATACAGCCCTTGACTGGCAATAAATAGTATTAACTATAACTTAACTTGATATGTCACCAATTCTGGTATTTATTCGACCGCCAAGCCTTGGACTTCGTCCCACATCAACATCGACCTTTCTCGCGCTCGTCACACTGTCCCCAGACCCCTCTCTGTCAGTCATAGGTGGGTTCGTCCCCGACGTTTTTTTCTCATGTGACAGGGGAGGCAGGCGAAAGGCTAACCCTTTGCGAGCGGACGACTCATCCAGGCTTGATTCTAATGACGTGACTGAAGTCACAGAATTGCGCTGTTTGTCACTGGGTGAATTAGAAGAGTCCAAGCGATCTCGTGAGACCTTTGTTGAAGTCTCTGGTGAGTTTGAGGCACATCTAACCTTAACAGTTACTCTTGATTGTTGGGGAGCAATGCTAGATGCGTTTAGTTTCTCCCTCTCTTTCTCCAAGCGTTGTTTGTACTCTCGAAGAAACGCCTTGGTCGCTCTTCTACCAGACTAGAGGAAAACGGGGAAATGAAAATAATTCAGCACTACAAGAATCTACATCACATCTCATATGTACTTTCTCATTAGGACATCTATACATTTGAAGACATGACACATCGTCTGTACATTATCAAGCAGACAGATGACAAGAACACTTATGTTCATGTTTGCACGCTAATTAGATGCATGACATCTGTGAGAAGCATCACAAACTGTCATTTTCATATTACTTCATATTGACAGTATGCGTTGTGTTGACAACGTCGATTAAAAAATGAATTTATATTTTTACCTAAGAATCTCGCGGTGCTCTTAAGGTGGCCGAACACAGTTTTCAAGTGCTTATGCCTAATTCACCATTACTTTTAAAATATTTATGCTTTGGCGCCCGTTTTCTGCGAGAGTCAAGGTTAACCACAGAAGGGTTTATTCTCGCATTTTGGCTAAGGGGTGTGCTGTTGCCATGGCAACGGAGCTGGTTGAAAACAAGGCTTAACAAATGGTTTTTGTTTCCTTAAAAGAAATCCAATCGTTAGATTTTTTTCATCATTTGCCCACTACGAATTGACATTAAATCCCTTCTGTCAACGCTGTTCTAATAAAATTTTGACACAGACGATTTTCGTAATTCGCCGTAAATCGTTTTCACTACATGTTCTGTATTATTGAAAATTCCCTATGTCAAAATTCAGATTTTTTGTGATAGATCATTTACGTGGTTTTTGAACTATTTTTTTGCCAAATTTCTTGAAATTCTAACGACTGGATCGTTGGAAATTGGCAAGTTTCTGCAAAAGCAATCGGTCTCAATTTTACGAGCAACTGCGCACGCAGTGCATTTAACTGGGTTGAAAAAGCTGAGAATTGCTGGGTTCTCTGCATCGTTACCTTTTCTAATATATCTTTGTAATAAAAGACTAAAGCCATCAACACACTGCGTTCAAAAATAGAGAAAAATAGCACACATAGTGCGGGTGTTGAGTAAATAANTAATATATCTTTGTAATAAAAGACTAAAGCCATCAACACACTGCGTTCAAAAATAGAGAAAAATAGCACACATAGTGCGGGTGTTGAGTAAATAAAATGATCGAGGGATCGCTCTATTGACGGCATATTTGTTTTTTCCAATCCTTGTGCGCGCGCTGAATTGCATCAGCAAAGCGCACACGAAAATTGTGTTCGGCCACCTTAAGTCATTTACTTTGTTTATCACTGTCAAAACAATCAGAAAACTAAGTCTGGAACACAGCGATAAATTTGAAATAGGAATTTAAAAAAATTAGCCGTCGTGGTTCACATTCTCCAGACAACGCAGAATTCGGTCATTTCACGTTGTTGTTTTGCAGAGGAAGGCAAAGAAATGTACCAAGAATTATAACGCACGTGCACAGCCATTGCTCCGCTCATTAAACCTTTTGTTTAGCGACGTTCCCGTCGCCGTTGCCATCGTGGTTTTCTTAAACTCCCTATTTTACAAATGAAGATGCTTATCATAAAGAGCATTAATTTTGTCTCATTGGCGTGCAATCCTTGACGTTTCTGGATGAGACTAAAGAAAAGTATCAACTAGAAGGTAAATAGACTCATGGAAAAACCGTGTACAAATGAAGTTATCGTATCGTATCGATATTGTTTTGATGTGGCACCAAATTCAAATCATGAATAACATGAAAGGAAATCTTTGTAAATCAGTAGGAGCAATTAATCTTGAAATTATGTAGGGTTCAATCCCTACATAGAGCGGGAAAGGCAGAGTATAGGGACTGAACTAATGTCACTAATAGACCACTTTAACGATGTCACACAATGTCAATGTCACACAATGTCAACTGAGGCCCTGTCCACACGTATCCGAATATTTTTGAATCCGCAACTTTTTCTTTCCGGATTCAAAAATTTACCCGTCCACACGTAGCGTATCCAAATCGAAGTCGCCTGTCCACACGCATCCGATGGTACCCGGATTCACTCTAGACAAACTAGGCCTTCACGTTGTGCCGCCAAATTGGTTTATTGTTCGGTAAGAGACTGGACACGATTTTACTACGTCATCGGACTCGAACATATCCGGATTCGCGGTCCACACGTTATCGGATTCGTTGCGGATTTATTTTTTTCCACTCTGGAGAGCGGATTCAAAAATATCCTGAATGTTTCGTCTTCTTCATACAACTAAGTTAAAAAAAAAAAACCTCCATTGCTCAATTGCTCATGGACTATCGGGAAAAGCGTCGAGCGTTTGAAGAGACGTGTCTGCGTGTACAAGGGACTTCATATGTAGAAAGGGTCTTACTTCAATGAGGAAGAGTTTGTCGGCAGGCTCCAAATTGAAGTCGTTTGTCTCAATGTAATCAGTATCGATGCCAATCGTTCGCTCGACGTCCTTTTTCTGCCGGTAAGAAGGGAAACTAAATGTAAGTGTTTGTAAGTTAATATATTGTACGTAAGTAATGTAATGTATTCTAAGTAGGCAATGCCATGTATTGTAAGTAATGCATGCAAGTGATAAAGCCATTGTAAGTACTGTTACGTAACGCATTGCAAGTAGGTAAAGTCGTATATAGTAAGCGATGCTTGTAAGTTGGTAATATGGTGCATTGTAAGTAGCTAATGTAAAATAACACTTTGTAAGTGATAGATGTAAAGTAGTAATGTGGCGTATTCTAGGTAGATTTAGGGCCTGTCTTCTCAGTGCAAGCATTGTAATGTGAGTGATGTACTGTGAGTGTAATGTTACATATGCAGTGTAAATAAAATTTAAAAAACAAGTAAAAGTAAAACATACACATTAGAAAGTAGCAGAAAACTGCGGCTTTCCAGTAATGCTTTAATCATCACTTACCTCTACATATACTCTCTTCACATTAACAGATAATGCGGTCTAAAAAACGTGGAGAAAAGAAATGTTACGATGTGCTCATTATACACTAAACTACATGTACCACCACGGAACCCCATGCATCAATAATCATAAATGGTTACGTCTACACAGTGCCGAAGTAGGAGTACACACTACGTCATGCTTTGGTCAACTATGTCAAGACAGTCGCAAGTAAGTCTTACATATAATCACATTGTACACGAAATTACTAAGCACGACCTTTTACCGTCTAAATTGGCCCTTTCGAAGTTCAAGCGACAATAAGTAGCGAAGGCGAGGACGGAAAACAGTTAAATTGGGTTTCGTTCTGGAAGGTTTCCACGTTTCGTTGGAATCTCACGAATCTTGCCACCTTGCGAAATTCTAGTTGTACATGTAACAAAGAATAACTGAAAAAGTTTCGTTGTGAACTTTCAGAAGTGTAGCAGCTCTCGTAAGCTTGTAATTCTCTTCATTGTTAGCAGCTGTTATTGTTTTAGGGCTAGGGGCATTGTTTCTGTTGTTTGTTCCATTGTTCTCTCAAAGGGTAGCACGCCATTCATGTGAGACCTTACGACAGCTGCTACATCAACCCGAACTTTGCCTTGAGCCTCTTCATAACGGTTTTAGTACGTTTCTGTTTTGAATTAAATTTCATTATTTCTGGATGGGGCGAACATCCAACAAAGGTAATCCCAAACAGTTAAACTGACCTGTAGTGTTTGTATAAACTCTCCTAAATGTTTGATATCCTTTCTAGCATAGCCCAAAAATCTTGTTTGAAGGTTTACCCCCTTTTTCTCAATAAACGCCATTAATTCTTGAAAGGTGATCTGCAAAGGAAAATAAACTTATATTACAGTGAAATGAAATCACCATGAAACAATTATAAGCCCGAGCTTGTCATACAGTAAGGTATAAAGAAGTTATGTTGGTTACCACGGCATATGACGTCATAAGATATCATTAGATCCGCCATCTTGGGTTTGAGTAATTTCTTATGACGCCAGAAAAGAGTTAGTTTACAAGAACAGTGTGTATCTAAAAGTGTTAAGTGCAGGTGATAGCACCTGGGTTTATCTAAATTTCGAATTCAAGTTTCAAGTTGAAGTTTCTTAATTTCCACACTACAAAATAAAGATTAAACAGAGATTAAAAAAACATAGAGGTTAAAAGGAGTTCACGTAACTGATCTTATAAAATCATATTTACTTAATGTACCTAGTGAACATAAATCTTAAAAAGAAAAAATGAAATGAGCATGTGGCCTAGAATGCCACGATACATCCGGGACTTTCATACAGGGTCCGCGCGAAAATTCAAACCAATTAGCGCACAAAATAAAGAAAATGACCTGAAAATGGCTAACACCGTGTGGGTTTTGCGCATTTTTTAACTTGTTTATACTACTTTGCTTTCACAGTAGTCAGCATATTGCTTTTGTAGAACGCAAAACACTGCAGTCATGGAATAAACAGTAAGTCTCGGAACATTCTGTAAGGATCTAACTTTTGGAGCAACAAGCTTTTGAACAGACTACACTGAGTCGCTCTCTACGAGCTATTTTATTATAAGCCCCCATGTAAGGTCTCCGATTGCACTCCAACCTAAGAATCCTCTCTCACCTCCCCGTCTTCGTCTGTATCCAGCTCTTCAAAAGCTGCCTTGTAATCGGCATCAGGACCAAACAACAACTCCGCATCATCTTTGGTAAACTCTAAAGGCTGTTTTAGATAAGAACAATGAATATAAACACCATACCTTGAAGAGCACCGCAATTTTAGGTTTACGAAACTCTACCGACTTTACATGCACAACCTTCATCCCTTTGATTTCAATCTCGCAAACTCTTATGGCAAACAAACAGCCTCAAAATGGAGAAGAAATTCATGTGCAACCCTTCTTGTTGCTAGCAGTTTGAAGAAAAAATCGTCACACGATCGAGGACTTACTATCATAGTAAAAGCAGAGAGTCGTTTTACAAGTATTTCTCCAAATGTCACGAACTAATGGGTAAAAGAGTTCCTTTTCTTCAGCATTTGAAAAATTTTACGACAGCGCTTCCTCTTTGCAGTGTGAAAGATTTCCTTCAGAGCAAAGGTAAAAACGCACTGAAGAGGAAACTAACGAAAAAGGGGCTCAGAAATATGACGATTCCTTGGTGCTCGTAAAACGGGAAAACTCGCTAAGTGACTCGTTAAGATATTCCACCCTATTTTGAGCGAAAACAAATAGATGTCTTTGGAAACGTTTCTTTACTTACATTCCTAAAAACTCCTCTTAATTCTTTTAAATTAATAATGCTGTCTTCATCTAGATTGTTCCTTTGTAGTTCCTGCAAGAAAGACGTTGTCACTTAATTGTTAGAATACACTGTACTTGACGCGATAACCAAAGTGGATGCATGCCTGGTTGTTCAAAGACTGGACAATTCTATCTCCACGATAAATCTGTGTCCAGTACACAAGGTTCACGCTTGAGCCAGAGAGTTTTTGTTACCATCATCTGATAGGTCACATGCTGCCATCAAAACGACAATGTGAAACTGTAGTCAAATTCTGTCGAGTTCTACTTGTGAATCTAACTGGTTCAATTCTAACTTAAGTACAATTGAGTCACAGTAGAGTAATTGTATCAGTTAATGTACATTGTAATTCTTCTTTAATTAAGTAGTACCTTTTTTTGGTTGAGAAAATGCAGAAAAATTATCACCACATTTTGTTTTAATAACGTAATTGTTTGTATCACAAATTGTCTTCCAGTAACACAATCAAGGATGGAAATTTATTATCTCTGTTATCTCTCAGTTAGTACGTGCACTGTGATTGGTCAGTTTAGCGGGCCGTGTTCTACTGTACGGCCCGCTAAAAGTTAAAGCTGCTTTTGTTGCCAAAATGTTTCGTGATTTATCACGAATTTTTCTTAACTTTTGTACCAAGTAAAAGTTTAAAATTTTCTTTTTCTTTAAATAGTTTATTAAAACGTGCTAACGACTTAACAACGATTTCAAATTGACTTGTTTTGCTTTCGAAGTGCCGCAGCAATTTGAAGCCGTTTGGCGTGAATAAAAATCGTTCCCGAAGCCGTCAGACACACCGTAGAGATAAAATAAATATCTTACTAACCTCGTCTTCTCGGTCCGTACTATAAGTTACGGATTCTCGTTTTTTTCCCCGTCNCCTTACCGCCTCCTGACACTTCCTAAAAGAAAACATTGCTGAAATTGTATTTTTTTCGTAAAGTACAGTTGTTAAGCTTTCTTATGATATATAGTTTATTGGGGTTTTATTGAAACTGACGCGCGTACGATTTTTTTCCCAAAGGGCACCCGCGAAGGTGGGAAGTAACCTTAATGCTTTTGTTGCCAAAATGTTTCGTGATTTATCACGAATTGTTCTTAACTTTTGTACCAAGTAAAAGTTTAAAATTTTCTTTTACTTTAAATAGTTTATTAAAACGTGCTAACGACTTAACAACGATTTCAAATTGACTTGTTTTGCTTTCGAAGTGCCGCAGAAATTTGAAGCCGTTTCGCGTGAATAAAAATCGTTCCCGAAGCCGTCAGACACACCGTAGAGATAAAATAAATATCTTACTAACCTCGTCTTCTCGGTCCGTACTGTAAGTTACGGATTCTCGTTTTTTTCCCCGTCGATTTATGGCCCGCACGCTTTAGCGCTTGGGCCATAAATCGAAGGGGAAAAAACTCGGTTAGTAAGAGGTATGTATTCCACGTATCTGAGCTTTCCCGTCTTCCCCAATACACCCCTCCCTTAACACTCCTGAAGACGTTGTATAAAATTCCGAGGACCTAACTCCTAAAACATGGACTGTCCATTGTCAGTGAAAGGAAACCCTGCACATACCGCCATAAATCTACCAACAGCTTTCACCATGGTTTGATGTTCCTGATGCATTATGGCTTGCTGATGCTGCAATTTAAGTCTTTGTCTGAAAAATGAACCAAACAAGATTATCAGAAAAATGTGAAGTACACTGTACAGTGTGGAGGTGGGGTGGCCTCATGGTTAGTGTGCTAGGGTGGAGCCCTCGCCAGGGGTCACTGTGTTGTGTTCTTGGGCAGGAGACTTTACTCTCAGGGTCTGCTGGAATGCTGAGGGGGGGATGGCTATGCAATGGACAAGCATCACTTTCAGGAGGGGGGAGTAGAAATAATCCTTAGGCTAGTCATTTCATGCTACAGAAACCAGGATAAGTTCTGGCTGGTGGGCCACCAGGCCTACACTGTAAAATGTGGTTAAAACATCACAATATGTGCGACCATCGCTGGAAAAGTGCTCCACAATGTATGTTACTATGGTAATATTATGATAAATATTATAATAAGAATAATACATGTAATTATTACTTTGCTAGTTTGGTGACAGGTGGTTTTGGAGGCTTGTTGCCTTCACGTTCTGTAAGCAGAGTCTTCATTAATTCTGTCTCAGTATGGGAATACTGTAACAAAAGAGAAAAAAAAAATACATAAAGCATTCAGCTGCAAGCTAAGTATGGTCATTGCAATATAAGGCCCAGTTAAACTGGGAATGTTTTTTTGCAACTTATGTTGCAGTTTTGTTCCAACAGAGGTTGCATAATAAGATACTTAGGGGGGTCATGTATGGCCAATATAAGTCAATGTTGCATTCAACAACAGTAGCGGGGGTGCTATATAAGGCAGTTTCTGATCTACATGTGTTTACAACTTGTCTTTAATTTCGTTAAATTTACAAGTTGCAAGCTAAGTTAAAAAAAGACAACCCCTTGAACTAACATGTCTTACAACAAAGAGACATGTTCTGTTCAAATTCTGGGTTTTGCACAGTGACACATGTACATGCACTTACATGGCACAAAATATCATAACTTAATTGAAAATAGTGACTTAAAGAGACATATCAATATCCCATCTTTGCCGTGTGATCCTAGAGGTGTTCAACAGAGTGAGGTTTATGACATGTAACATGTTACTGTATGCACAAAGTAGAGTTCACTTACTGTACGCAAAAGTGTCCACTACTGGAGATTAGCTATTCATGAACGGGGGAGGGGAGACGTCTACTCAAATAGACTACGAGTAGTTCCTCTTTCGCTTAGTCCATTGAGCGAGACCGTCAATAAACCGCAAGGAAAAAATGGCTATGTGAATTTTTTCTCTCGTATGACAGACTAAGCAAAAGGGGGGCCACTGGTAGTCTACTACTCAAGGGAGGGTGACTCCACTCAGGGCTGTCATTGTCTTGGCCTTCACAAACTAAACAAACTTGATGCTTTGTGGGTGAATTACATGTACAGCTGTATGTCAACAAAAGGAAAGTNGGGTTTTGCACAGTGACACATGTACATGCACTTACATGGCACAAAATATCATAACTTAATTGAAAATAGTGACTTAAAGAGACATATCAATATCCCATCTTTGCCGTGTGATCCTAGAGGTGTTCAACAGAGTGAGGTTTATGACATGTAACATGTTACTGTATGCACAAAGTAGAGTTCACTTACTGTACGCAAAAGTGTCCACTACTGGAGGTTACCTACTCATGAAGGGGGGAGGGGAGACGTCTACTCAAATAGACTACGAGTAGTCCCTCTTTTGCTTAGTCCACTGAGCGAGACCGGAAATAAATCGCACAGAAAAAATGGCCCTGTGAATTTTTTCTCTCATATGACAGACTAAGCAAAAGAGGGGCCACTGGTAGTCTACTACTCAAGGGAGGGTGACTCCACTCAGGACCGTCATTGTCTTGGTCTTCACAAACTAAACAAACTTGATGCTTTGTGGGTGAATTACATGTACAGCTGTATGTCAACAAAAGGAAGTTCACCCGTAACACCAAAGGCCCAGGTGTTGCAGGTTGTGGTCCTTATCACAACCTTTATGAAAAGTGTCCGTGTACAATACAAACAGTTTCTGGCTGTCAAGTGCCATTTCTTTCAAATGTTTCATTACTTACCAAAACTATTCCTAATGTTTTTGAGTTCCATGTCCCAAACCTCTCTGACTTTTCAAAGAGCTTTGCAAAGTCTTCAAGAGGTTGCAGTTTCTTGAAAAATGTGTCTTTAGGGTCCATGGACAACCACCAACCTTAAGGAAATTTTAAAAAAAGGCACGTGCACATCAGCAAAGAAACTAAATTATTCATTAAATTACAACATTTAGAGAGGAAGCCACACTGGCCTCAGCTGGTTTTCATGTTGGTTCTCTATCCTGGTCAAATTGGAATTTCGAGTGTTGGTTTCTCTGGAGGGAGGAAAACTGGAGAACCTTGAGAAAAACCCTCGGAGCAAGGCGAGAACCAGCAACAAACTCAACCCACATATGGCACCAGGCCACAACCGAACCCTGGCCACACTGGTGGAAGGCCAGCGCTCTCACCACTGCACCATCCCTGCTCCACAAAAGGATTGACCAAAGTATTAATCATACACTTGCTGAGTTCCGATTGGCTAAGAGGAATGCAATCGCATTTACAATCACATGAATTAAAGAATGTATTCATTGCACCTATAAACGTTCTCTCTATAATAGCAAAAAAGTAATGCAGATGTCCTTAATCCTTTTCTAGGAATCAAAAACTACATATTAAATTTTTTTCAATTGTTAAAAATGTAGCTTAAGTTTAATCTCCAAGCTTTAAGTACATACCATCAAATGCATGAATCGGGTAATTGCACAAAAGTCCTCCATCGACATAAACATCTTCATAGTCATTGTTTATTTCACGTACACACTGGAATACACCTGAAATATAAAAACCTCACATTGTTAACTGTCACTACATCTAGATTGCAGTATTTATGGTTCCAGGATGGCCTTCAGAGTCTGTGACTCCTTCACTGGTTCAAAGCAATTTATTGCTCACTTAATTTGAGTGCAAAGGAGAAACTGCTTGCACAGAATAATACAAAAATCATGCACTTTCACAAATAATTTTCACAAATAATTTTATTTTTAACTGATGTACTGCCCAATTCTAAAGACTGCAATCATTTTAATAAATTTTAACGATTAAAAGTACTTAAAAGTAGAGTGTAATATATATTCACTAATAACAGTACAATGAACATGAATAGAGCAGTTTTCACTTGAGTGTCGAACACTACATGTGCATTACTGCGCCGCATCATTGGCTTAAAAAAGTCAAACCGCTTTTTCATCCAATCAAAAGTAAAACCCAAACAAAATGTTTGCTTATTAATATTTCTGTAATATGTATTTCTATAAAATGTGATCCAGCAAGAGTTTACTAACCTGGGAGTGCAACTGACATTCTAACAGCTCTTCTTATTGGTGTATTTGGTGTTGTCTTGGGGTGAAAGTACTCCACTGACATCTGATTCAAGTTGGTAACAACGATGCAGAGTTCTTTACCAAACCTCTCCCATACCTACATGTACGTGTATTGACAACAAATAAACTGTTAACGCATATTCTCCCAACTAGTACATGTACTATAAGAAATGTACAGAGACCAACAACGAGAATTTGTATGTTGACCCTGGGGAGTACCCCCTATAATGGCCCATATGGAGAGGCTCTGCCTGAAAGGGGTAACATTTTCAGGCTTCAGGTATATAAAAGGTTAGGAATTTCACAAGTTGAAGTATATGAAAGGGTAGGGAAATCTGTCATTTAGTTATTTTAAAGGGCCTTTGCTTAAACTGTTTCAAGCAGACGCACCTTATGACAAGAAGACTTCCTTCTTAACCGATTCATTTCTAAAACAGGCCAGTTGTGAAAGTATGGGAAAGGGATACCTTTTTCAATTAAAGGCATACAAAAGGGACACCTTTTCTGTCAAAAATAGTATACAACAGAGTAAGGGGTTGGACCTCGGGGTGGAGCCTCCAGG